CTTAAGAATAGACTAAACAACCAACTAAATTCAAAGGGTTTCGAAATAGGGAATATATTAATTTAAATCTTATATGTGAATATAAGAAGAGAAAAGGTAAATATACGATATGCAAGTCATTCAACAATGACAAAAAAGAAAAATCTTTGTGATATACGGAATGCGATAGAATCATAAAATATGAGGGGCTTATCCTGAGGTGTAATGCAGCAGCAGGTTGATTTTTGTTCGATAGGTTCTACATATGAACTGAAAATGTTTGCGGTATTACTAAATACAAATTGTATTTTGTGGTCTAACCAATCAAAAGAGGGACTAACCGAATCTGTTAAGCTAAAACAAATCTCGATTTTAATTTAATAAAAGATCTTGTTTAAAAACTGAAAACCTGGTAAAGAACCGAATTTAAATCAAATTTGAATTTTTTTAACTATAATGTTCGAGTATGACCGAACTAATAAAAAAACACGTAACAAAAGTATAACATTTCTGCTGGTATGGCTCCGAATCTATCCAGAGTACCATAAAATCCAAGTCAAAAATGAAATGCGAACTGAAACTACAATTTTACAAAAATGGTACTACATGTGAACTGAAAATGATTGCGGAATTAATTATAACAAATCTATTTTGTGGTCTAACCAAACAAAAGAGGAACTAGCCGACTCTATTTAGCAAGAAAAAATCTGGATTTGAATTGGATAGAAGATATTGTTTGAAAACTGAAAAGCTGGTAAAGAACCGACTTTAAATCAAACTTTATTTTTGAATTATCAAATAATCAAGATGGATTGTTTTGAACTATAATGTTTGAGTATGACCGAACTGATAGAAAAACATTTAACAATAGTAAAACATTTTTGCTGGTATGGCTCCGAATTTAAATAAAATGGCAACTGAAACCAAAATTTTACAATGGATGGATTGGAATATTTTCGGGAATCTCAACCGTCAAACGACAGATTTCTGATCAGGCATTGAGGTGGCCCCACGTTTAGCGCTTTTTAAACAAACACCACGGCTTGACCGGCCTGCACAAGGAGGTGGGTGTGGTATTGTGTTAAGAGGGAATAGAGTGTCACAGATCTAAAAGTAGTAGACAGAGAGCCGACAACTATAAGAGTTTTAAGCCAACGGCCAGGACTCAGACGAGAGAGTGTAACTACGCCTCCATCTATACCCACTCTACCAGTCAAGTTCCATTAGACTCCACCCTTAAACAACCGCTGCGGTACAATCTCTAAGGTGCCCTCAAAAGATCGCAACTTATTTCATCTTAAACTTCATTTAACACAGCAAATATAATAGTATGGTTCATGGTTCTTAATACTACAAATCCTAACCGTAAGGTTCTTAAGACTAATCTTTATTCTCGCCAAACGACTCTCTATTTGATCGTGTTTTAATACAAGATTAAAAAAAGGAAAAGAAAGGCATATTTACTTTACGTTAAATGATTAGAGATTGATTACGTATGTAATCTATATAATATTTTCTAATTTAAAGACAAAAGCACTTGGGAGGATTACTTTACTTTTATTTAATCAAATGCAATCGATTCTTGTTTATTATTTACAGATATACGACTGAAGGAAATATGTATATAGAAATGTTTAACAAAAGTGTGCGGGCTCGTATATATATATATGAAGGAATGTAGCTAATTTACTGCTATGCCGTACTTACTAACTCTCCAACGAAGTCAGCAGGCCTGATGACAATCGATATGCGCGGTAGAACTATGAATGGCTTAATTTATGTGTACACATGTCATACTATATCGTAAGCTCACACGCAAATATATAGGCTGAATGGGAATCGTAAGATTAAATAGAAACTTGACTTAAATATATTAAGAATGAGGAAAACCAAACTACAACTACACTAGTGATATAAAAACGAGTTGGCAAATTCCAATTGGGATGCGGCGTCGTTGCACGGTCTTGCGCGGTTTGCGCCGATAGATATTCGCCCGAACTCCAACTTGATCCGACTCGTCGACCGTGGAGCGGATTTGGTAGGGTGAAAACCTCACGCCGTGTGCGGTATGGAAATCTTTAATACAGATTCTGGCGTGACGCTGAAGAAACGTATGATCCAGGCGTAGCACTGATGAAATGATGTTTCGGACCGCCGCACCTGCTCCTTGCTGTACGCAGAGGGAGGACTCTAAATACTTCCGACAATTCCAAGAATTCGCACGTGGTCGCTGGTCACATCTATTTTCCGGGAATTACGTTTAGATATTGCCAATATTCCGTCCCAATTATCTATATACTACCAATATTGGGAATAATAATGGGTCGTGCTGATCCACAAAACGCCAAGAAATTCACACGCGAAACTATGGATGCGATCGAGTAAGAAAAATGTAAAAAACTTTACGGAGCGAACTAACCGTCCTCGGGAGAAGATACAGAAAAGAGGAGGAAATTATGGCGTCTAGAGTGGACAAGGGAGGCACCAAATACCAAAAATCCTTTAAAATGGATTTTTTTTTGTATTCGGGCGAAGATCGGATCCTTGCTAAACTGAAGGGTTGCATCTGGGCTACTTATTTTAATTACCGTGGGGAATGTCCTGTAACGAACTGATTTTTGTGGTCTGCTCGCTACGACCACCAAATTTATATAAACGTGACCGCCCAGTAGCTCACTGAGAAAGCACAGAATTCACGGGTTCGTAGTGGGTTTATTGCGGGTATATTATTACAAATGTCTTGGTAGCTTGGTTGGCCTTGACTCGTCACTTGTGACCTTCGGTACTTCCGACGGTCCTGGTTGTCTCGACGACCTCCCGCCTTGTTGACTCGGTGCTCCAGTCCTGTAGCTCCCTAAAGATCCTTGCAGCTCCCTGAAGGTGCTCGCTCGCTGCTCGCCCCTGACGCGTTGACTTGGTGACTGCTGGTGACGACTCGGACTCGCAAGGGGGATCAACCGTACGGGCTTAGGGAAGTGTCACCGTTCTCAGACTAGGGTAAACAGAAGCTGCGTTCTCCAGGATCACTCCTTTCGACACACCGCCGCCTGTCCCTTGCTCTGTCCCGGATGGCCCCACTGGGGTTTCTGCTCAGCCCGCGCATAAAGTCAAGGCGGAACGCCAGGAAGCTGCCTCGCGCTTTTCTTCGCTTCTACGCCTAGTTTAAACGAACGTTCCACCCTAGCCTCACCCTTCTGCGTGTTGTCCGGGATGTTTCCGCGTGGCTCGCTCTGTGTTGCGCGGCTGTCGGGATGTGATGGCTGGCCTGCTGCTGACGCTATCTTGCGCACTGCTCCTGGTGGTGCTGGCTGCGCGGCTGGACGTAGCGTGGCTTTTGGTGCTGGGGGCTCGGGCGTATGCCGTTTCGGGACCTCGCAAGTTGAAACCGTAGGGCTCTCCTGGACAACTCCACTCCAGACCGTACCGATCGACCGCTCTCTCTTCTCGCTTGTTGTGCTTGGGATTCGGACACGCCGCTCCGGGACCTCGCAAGTCGAAATCGTAGTGCTCTCCTGGACAACTCCACTCGAGACCGTACCGATCGACCGCTCTCCCTTCTGGCTTGTTATACTCGTTATCCTCCAGGCGTAACGCCAGGACTTTGTTGATAGGGTTAAACCGACCGCCTTGACCTAGCCGTGTGATGCCCTCTGGACCTCAGCTACCTGCGTCTTAATTCGGAAATTCCTGGTATCCCAATCCCGAACGTCTCGACGTAGCAATCTTGCTCCTCGTAGAATCCCACGGCGCTGCTTTTCCGACGACTCGAATTGCTGTTGCTGCCTCGTAGACTATCTGGTTGATTAACTGTTCACTTTGGTATCTGATTGATCTTGATGGTCTGACTCCTCGTGATCGACTGATCCAGCTGCCAGCGCTCTGTGGCCTTATATAGGGCCTGCTCTGCCCGGCAAGTCTCCACTCTCTCCTTATCAGCTCCTTGGTCTCCAAACTCTCTCGATCTCCATCCTTGGTCTCCAAACTCTCTCGATCTCCATCCTTGGTCTCCAAACTCTCTCGCTCTCCATCCTTGGTCTCCGAACTCTCTCGTTCTCCATCCTCTCCTCGCCTCGCCGTTACTACGCGAATACGCCGCGTATCTGGTAAGCGGCCGGCCATCTGCTGCTGCTGCTGCTTATATTTGTGGGGAGTTATTCAACTCCTCACGTTACCCCCTTACTTCGGGAAACATTTAAAACTCGTTCCTACTCTCCGGCGTTTCCTTGCATATCTTAGCCTTCGAGTCCTTGCGATGCTCCCTCCGATTCCCTCGTTGCTCTCCTCGACGCTCTTAACTCTATTGAGTTTCTACAGCGCTGGTCATCCTCCTTGTAGCAACTTGAAATCTCCCGCTCCGATATTTCCCATGTTTCCACTGGGACATCGATACTCATGGGCTATCGATCCCCAGCTCGCTGCTCAATACTGCGTCCCACTCCTTTCCACGGTTCCTCCGCCTGGTCAAACCATCTGTGCGTGATCGATGTTTCTGCGACTATCGATACCGACGGTGCGGCGTTGCCACCTGCTCGTTGCGATATTTCCACATTTTGCCGATATTTCCATTTTCGTGAGCCCATCGATCGCACTATCGTCCAGTGCCAATCGATCGCCTATCGAAGCGCCCCCTTCCCTGGCTCATGGTGATTTTGCAACTTTCTAGGTACGTTTTCGCATTTCTTCACTCCTTTCTATTTCATCCTTTCTCTCCTCATACGTCCTCTCTCGCCTCTTGTCTCTTTCTCTCGCCCTTCAGTCGTCCTCAGCCGGCTGAGCATGGTTCCACGCTGGCAACACTCGAGAGCCGGTGCGGAGAGGATTTCGCAATTGCTTCGCAGCAGGTGAGTATTTTGGTATTCGTTTGGCTGCTTCCTGCATTAGATCAATTTGAATTTCAGGATGCCGGAGCTGCCATGTATGCCTCTTTCTTGTGGCCCCTGTTTCAGCCGCGTTTCCCGTCCTTTGCCGGTTTCAAATTTTTTTTCGTTTTCTTATATTTTTAAACTTTATTCGGCTGCTCCTCAAACACTCTCGTGCCCGCGAGCCCCAACCGGACTCAGAACGCGCGACCCTCTCTCCATACGCGCACGCTGCGCCTGCCGCCCATGATGCGGGCCTCTTTCGGGCCACTCGTGCTCTGCGATCTCTCGCAATCGCTGACTCTCCGGCGCCGACATCATCCTCACCAACTTTGGCCTGGCCACCACCTTGGTGATTTTGGGCGCGGAGTGCTGCCGTCTTAGCGGAGGACGGCCACTGTACACGGGCTCGGGCCACACCCAGGGCCCCCTTTCCAGCGGCTCCTCCTGTTCCGGTGCTGCCGTCGGGCCGTCTGTTGCTGCTGATGCCGGTGTCGTCGGTCCGGTGCTCGGTGTCGGTGGTCTCCATGGCTCCGGTCTGCCGCGGGTCCTGGGGTCCAGCGGGATCACCCGGGGAGTACTCTCCTCCCAGATTCGGGGCTCCTCCGTCGCCGCCGTCTCCTCCGCGGGTCCCTCCGGCCACGTCCAGACGACCGTCTGCTGCCGCCTCCTTACCCCTTCGGCCACGAACGTCCGGGTACTTTGGCTCACGTGGGCCGCCGGTATGTCCGTCCGGATGTGTTGTCCCGTCGGGTTCTCTGGCTGTTGCTGAGGTGGATCGGTTTGTTGCTGCTGGCGTCGCTCGCGTTGGTGCTGCTGCGGTGGTGGCTGCTCGCGTTGTGGCTGCTCGAGTTGTTGCCGCTGTATTTTTTCGAGTTGCTGCTGCGGTGGTGGCTGCTCGAACCTCGGCGTGGGTGGTCGTGCTGGCGTCCACTGCGGTGACCCCTCGTACCGCGGTGTGGGTGGGATTTCGGGCAGCCACCGCGGAGGTGAGGACACCCAGTCTTCTGCCACTTCTGGTGGCGGGATGCAGGGCTCGGGCGCATACCTCGGTGTGGGTGGGTACCCCGGGTTCTCCCACAGCTGCTGCTCCTCCTTTTCGGCCGTCCGCAGTTGGGCCCGCCACTCCGGCGATTCCTCCATCTCCTTCAACCGCCGCTCCTCGCTCCGCCGTCGCGCCTCCAACGTATCCGGCGATACTCCAACGTAGCCGCTGCCACACACTCGGCAGGGCTACCGGGAGCCTGCTGGTCCTGGGGCGGCTCCTCGCTGGCTTATTCGACCTCCGCCGCACCAGTCGGGATGCGACCGTCGGCCCGGTTGCCAGCTCTGCAAAGCCGTCATCGCCGCTGCTCCACCCGCGGGTCTTTCACCAACTCGACGTCGCTGTCGGAGCTGATGACCGGCTCGGGAACGCCACGCCCGGAGATCCGCCGCGAGGTTCGGGTAGGCCGGGCTGTCGACCATCCTTGCCCCGGGCTGGATTCTCCGGACGGCTGGTGGGCAGCCATCATCCAACGCGCATCGCTCCTTGTCACACGTGTGCACATGATGCTTGTCGATTTTGATTGTTCATTTGAAGCCTGGGCTCCCTTCAACGACACCTCGGTTCCGAGCTTTCCTCTTTGCTCAATCCCGCTATTTCCTTCGGCCTCTCCTTCTTCCTACCCAGATCTACGGTACAGCTCTCTGATCTGTGGCGTCTTCCCCCTTTCTTCGGCAGACTGTTGATGCGTGTTTTTTCTTTCCTCCAATCAGTCCAAATCGAGTCTTTGGACGCTCTGGTTTGCTCCCTTTGTGTTCTTAACGTTCTCCTGTTGTAGTTGCCCTGTAGTATCCTTGCAGATTTCTTGGATTTATCTTATCGGTTCCTAATAGATATTTCTAGTATCTTTGGCAACTCCCTGGAGTTATCCTTGGAGTCACTTCGTAGTATCCCTTTCGAATCCTTGGATGTATCCTTGGAGTGTGTTCGTAGTATACTTTGAAAATCTTTGGAGATATCCTTGAACTCTTTTCGTTGTATCCTTTGAGGATCCTTGGAGATATCCTTGAATTTTTTTTTCGTTGTATCCTTTGAGTCCTTGGAGATATCCTTGGACTTTCAATGTTGTTTTTCGTCTGTTGCGTCCGCTTGTTGTAGCCACTCGCTTGTGTTTTCTGTTTCTTGTTGTTTCAGCTCGCTTACGTGGATGTTACGCTCTTTCTTTGTGTTTATGTGTCGTATTTTGCAGATTACTGGTGACGCAAAACCCATGACTTGGTAAGGTCCGTCATATCTTGGGGCCAATTTTGCTGCGAGCCCCTTGACCACCTTTGATAAATGGCGTTCCTTGGCCCACACGACGTCACCCACCGTTGGCGTCCATTGCCTCCTTCTTAGGTTATAATTCCTAGCCTGATCCTTGGATACTTTCTTCAGATTTAGCCTTACAATCTCGAAGATTTCTCTGAGTTTGTTGGCCTTCTCCTCCGGGGTCTCAGTCGGTCGGTAGGGCGCTCGGTAGTCTTGGTTCTCTGCCTTGGGTTATGAACGACGGTGTAACCTGTAGATTCTGAAACGCTCGTGTTTACTGCCAACATGATTTCCGGCCATGTCCCAGTTTCTTTGGTTCTGCCCTGCAAACTGCACTACCTTTGTCTTCCCCGTCCTATTTGCTCTCTCAGTCGGGTTCTTCTGTGGGGTATATGGAGCTGTGAACTGATAATTGGTTCCCATTTCGGCCAGGAAACTCTTGAAAATGTTGCTGACAAACTGTACTCCTTTGTCCGTTATGACTATTTTCGGGACCCCATACCTAGGGACCCCCCATACTAAAAGCTTTCTTTAGGGATTCGGCCGTCGCGCTTCGCAGCGGCACCAACTCAGTCCACTTGGAGAACCGGTCTATCAATACCAGCAGCATTTGGTTGCCGTGCTTCGAACGCGGTAGGGGTCCGACGAAGTCCGCACATACCGTAGCCCATGGTTCCTCTGGCCCCTGCGTCAGCATTTTCCCAGCCATTTTCATCTGATTTGGCTTGCATTCCTGGCTAGTAATACCGGGCTGCCAGACGCGCTATTGTCTTTCGGCTTTCTACATGGCCAGCCACCGGTGAGTCGTCGTTCTCCTTCAGCACCGTTTGCTGTAGAGCTTTCGGGACGCACATCTTCCACGTTGCGACATCCTCGCATAAGGTATATTCCTGTACAGGGTGTTACCCTCCATCACGTAGTCCGGATACTTTTGCGGCTGGGTCCTTATCTTTTCGCGGATTTCCAGAATCCAGCTGCATGTTGCAGAAGCTTCCGCCGCCGACGTCTCCTTGATCCCTCGAAGCGTTTCCGGTAGTGGCTGCCTTGACAAAGCGTCTGCCACCACGTTGAGTTGTCCTTTCCTGTAAGCTATTTCGAAGTCGTACTGCTGCAACTCCAGGGCCCATCTGGCGATCCTCCCTGAAGGGCTCTCTATGCTGTTGAGCCACTTTAGCGCCATGTGGTCGGTTACTACTTTAAAGTGGTAACCTTCCAGATACGGTTTCAGCTTCGGATCGCCCAGACGATTGCCAAGCACTTTTTCCTCGGTCGTTAAGTAATTCTTCTCAGCGCCGTTGGGCGTTCGTCTCGAGTAAGAGATTACCTTTTCGCCTCGTTCAGTTTCCTGGGTCAAGATTGCTCCGATGCCGTAGTCGCTCGCGTCAGTTTGCAAGATGAATGGCTTGTCGAAATCCGGGCACGCCAGTACGGCGACGAGTCTTGCCTTCACCTCTTCGCACGCCGTCTGGGGTTCCTGTGTCCACACCCACTTATTGCCCTTGCGTCGCAGATCGTTGAGATGCTTGACTATTTTTGCGAAGTCAGGTACAAACCGGCGGTACCAAGTACTGTCGGAGCTCTCCTACTGTCGATGGTGGTTCTAGTTCGGCGATGGCTGCTACCTTTTCCGGACCCGTGCCTATTTCTTCGCTAGTCACTCGTTGACCAAGATACAACAGCTCTTCCTTGAAAAATTGTCACTTCTCCGGGCATAACCTCAGATTTGCCTCCTGTAGCCGTCGAAACACCACCTTCAGGTTAGCCTTGTGTTCTTCCAGCGAGCGCCCGCTCACTATGATGTCATCCTGGTAAGCAAATGCGTGCGGCGACATTTCGGGACCGATCACCCGGTCCAGCACCCGTTGAAAGGTCGCAGACGCCGAATGAAGTCCAAATGGCATTACTCTCCACTGGAATAAGCCTTTCCCCGGCACTGTAAGCGCCGTGTACTGCCTGCTGTCTGCTTTCAGTGTGGTTTGCCAGTACTCATCCTTTAGGTCCAAGCTGCTGATGTACCGTGCTTCCCTCAGTTGGTCGATAATATAATTTTTTCGGGGCATCGGGTAGGCATCCTTTATCGACTTGGCATTGATTTGCCTAAAGACGGCACACAGTCTCCATTTGCCCTTCTTTTTTGTAAGCATCACGATGGGAGAGCTGTATGGGATTGTTGAATGTTCTATGTATCCCATCTGGAGAATCTCGTCAGCCTTCGCATTGATCTCCCCTTGAACTTTCGGATTTTTGGGGTAGTATCGCTGCTTTATTGGTTTGTCGTCTTTCATCGCGATCTGATGCCGTGCCATGTTCGATGTTCCCTTCATGGTGCTGAAACTCGATAGCTTTGCCTCCAGAAATTTCGTCGTGTCGTCGTCTTCGCTTGCCCGTTGTACGACTGCCACCGATGGCTTCTCTTCGAGCCATCCCTTGTGTCGATTCCTGGCCGGTATTATCACTTCGTGTCCAGCGCACTTAAACTCGGTACCGACTTGTGTTAGAAAGTTCCATTCCTAATGAATCCACTACCCCAGGTAGTATCAGCAGGCTCATGCTCAGTCGCTTGTTCCCGAACGCAATTTCCACCTCCAGCTGCTCATCGATTCCGCCACATCTTCCGTCTGCCAACCTAACTTGCCGTCGTATCCTCGTAATCTTCCCGAGGGCAGCCAGGTTGTTCGCCAGTTCTTTGCTTATAAAGCTTACTGTTGCCCCGGTGTCGATTGTGGCCTTGTATGTGCCCCCACCAATCAGCTTTCCCGTTAGTTTGGAGAGGTAGCATCTTGCGACCCCCGCTCGCCTCTCTGCGGCTGATATCGCTGGGCATTTCCCGTCTGCTGGCAGCATTCGACGCTCCTGACGCCTACTCTCCCGCACACCCAGCAGAACAACAAGCGTTTGTGCCGACACCCCCGGGCCCAGTGTCCATGACCACCGCACTTTAGGCAGGCCTTCTGGGGGTCTGTGATGTGTGTCGATTCACGAGGGCTTTGTGTTGTACTTGGTGGCCTCCAAACAGTGTTTGCTGGCTGCATCTGTTGCTGTTGTGGTGGTGTATATTGGCCTCCGCGTGGTGCTCCTGTTACCTGCTGCCGTGGGACTCGGTTAGGTGGCGACCATTGGTCGTTTCCCCGTGTCTCCTGGGTTCCTGTCTCTTCGCATCTTCTGCATGTTACCTACGTTGGTGATGACGACTTGGTCTTCGAGAATTTGTTTTCTTGTGCGAACGCTTCCCGCTCCTTTTTGAGTTCTTCATACTCATCTGCTAATATCATCAGCGTGTCCAGGTCCGACACTTTGTACCCCCTTAGGAAGATCCTTCGACTTGGGGTGCAGTTTACCTTGATGATCATTAGGGTATCTTTCGCGGAATATTTAAGTGGCCTCACCATCGTCTGCATGTCGATCATGTAGTCTTTGAACGAATCGCTGAAGCCCCGCCAGCCTGGTGAAGAAGTCTCTCGGCAGAAAGTATGTGTAAGCTCCGCCCAGGTTTTCCATTGTTTGTTGTTGGCGATAAACCACTTCAGAGACCTTCCCCTAAGCAATTCAGGCATCGCTCGGGGAATCATGTCGAACTCCAAGCCGTATGAGTTGGCGGACCATTCCACCTGCTCCAGGAACTCGAACGGTTTGTCCGCCCCGTCGAACCTGAACGACCATTCGAGGACCTGTTTAGCGATCCTTGCATAGTCTGACTGACTGGGTCTCGAGATCAGCGCTGTTATTTTCCTGTATTGGTTTGATTCTCTCCTGTTTGCCTCTTTTTGTAGGTTGTCAACGCTCAGGCTTGCCACTAAGTTGTCCCCTTCGGCGTTCGTTAACGTGATGCTCGGACCGGCTTTGTCGT